CTGGCCCAAGTTGGCACCATCATTGTGCTCTTCCCGGGTGAGGCAGATCAGTCGCCGGCTTCTGGATGGCCGCTCACTGTGGCTGCTAGCCGCCCACTGTGGCTGCTGACTACACACGGTAGCCCATGGCAACCCACTGCCACAGGGGCTGCAGCCTACGCCGTCGCAGGCGACTCATGGCAGCCCACCTCCAGGTTGAGCTGTTGTTCAGCATCTTAGCTGTGGAGGGCAGTGTCACTGGCCCTCACATGTGGGATCCGAGCCGGGGCCCTCTGGCGTCCCAAGACAGCTCTTAACCATCGCGCCACTCGGCCGGCCCTACAACGTCCTATTTTAAGTAAGTGTTTGTAACAGTGATCTTTTTCTGTCCCTTGTTTTATATTTTAGTTTTATTATATAAAATGAATTCTAAAACCCTAAATTGCCCAACAGGCTTTATGTTGTTGAATGGTCTCTCAAATTTAAAGAGTATGTGTTAACACATGCTACTTACTGCTAGGAAATGATCCAGATTTCTAAAATTATTAATTTATAATGTCTTATTAGGAAACGGTATAATTCAACCATCTGGGATTAGACAAACATACAAACATTTACTCTAACTTCATTGCTGAAACACATTAATGGCTGGCCTCGTTATTATCTTCTTTCAGCATTTTTATCTGTAGTAAAAATAAAATTTTAGCTGGAATGACAAATATTACCTCTCATGAGCATATTCTTTTTGTTTTAAAAGGAGGCTTTATTTCTGAATCAAATTTAAAACATTATAAATTATTAAAATGTAAACTCCATAAATCTGCCCCTATTCACAAATATCTGATTATGCAATTAGAATCCATTATTTAGTACTGTTTTCTGAATCATTTTCCAAGTTTCTACACACAATCACATTTATAATTTATTGTTTGTTTCAATATTCAATCATAAAGTCAGGATTTCCTTTATGCACTTGGCTGTTTCCCGTTACGGAATCCTTAACAATGCTTTTACAAACACCTTCATTCTCGCAGCTTTTGGTTCTTTAAGTTACTTTCACGGAAAGAATTCCGAGGAGTGGTATGAGTATACTGCCCAATTGCCCTCAAAAAACATTGTTTTGAGGCTCCTTCCAGCATGCATTGTTAAAAGCAGTTTTTATAACGGCTTTCTGTGGAGGCATCTGTGGTCCATCAGTGCATCAGGACATCTGCTCTTCCTTCTGTGAAGCTGACAAAGAAGTCCCACCCTAACGTACAGAGGAAGTAGCCATACNTGTTCACCATCTTAGCTGTAGAGGGCAGTGTCACTGGCCCTCATGTGGGATCCGAACCAGGGCCCTGCTGCTCAGAGCTGGCGTCCCAAGCCAGCTTTTAACCAACGCACCACTCGGCCGGCCCTGTACTGTCTTTCTTAACCCACCGTGTCTCCTGCCACAGGATGACACACTCCTGTGTGTACCCATGTGCCTTGGACTGACCAAATCATCCCCAGGAGGCAGCAGCTGTCTCCTGGTTTCCGAGTTTCTTTTCTCCCTGTTCTCCAGGCCCCACTCTAAGTCACATTTTTTATTCCTCTAGCGACCCGCCTACCCACACCTGCTTCTGTTAGTATGACCCTCACACTATTTCTTCTCCTGCAACTTCCCTCCACTCTTGCCAAATCGGGTCACTCACGACTGCCCAAAGCCATTGCAGACTTGACTGCTGTGTCTCTATCAGGCTGTCTCCTGGGCCCTAGATGCAGCTGTCCCTTGGAAGACCTTCTGAACCTGCTCACAGGGCACCTTCATCAACCAGATGTGTATTTCACTCACAGCACTTTATTTTTACCCATCTCAGGGCCATTCCCACAACCTGCGTCACATCTCTGAATCATGGGCCTGTTGCCTGACAGCCGAATTCTATAAACACGTCCCCCAGCATGTAGCCTCTAATCCCATTAGCTATGAGAGAAAAGCCTAGGTATGACTGGAGGCAGTAATCTCTCTGAGGGAGTGCCTCAGTATGACTGGAGGCCGATAAGACTCCCTCTGGGGAGTGTCTCAAGGTGTATTGGGACCTGTTGGAATGCTAACAGTTAATCTCTGGGAGGACACAGTAACAAGGTGTCCTGGGGCTATGTGGCCGGATATGTGAAGGCATAGCATATGCTGGAATATAATGGATATATTAATGGAAAAGGCTTTGAGGCACAGACCTCAAACGGATGCTAATTTGATTGACAGCAGATTTACTGCTCAATAAAAACCATGCCTCGACCTGACCCGACCCGATTCGGTGGCTCAGTCTAACTCTCTGAAGGCTGAGTCCCTTGGTCTCGCACTTAAATCTTACTTCTGTCTCTGTCTCTTTATTCAATCTGCGTCACCCCTCTCGTGTCCCATTTGCCCTTGCCACGCAGGACGTGACAATGGGCCCATTTCCCATTCCAGATAGAAAGCTCTTTGAGAAAAGGGACCATTTCTTATTCCTCTTTTTATCTCCTAAAAAACTGGGTACAATGTCCTAACTTGAAATAACAGACCAATAAAGAACAACTGACTTTTCTGTTGAATTGGAGGAATACAGGGAGAAAGGCAAGGAAAAAACTAGTATGGAAAAGTCTGTAAGTTAACTGTCTTACTGGAAAGGATGGAGGAAGGACCATGTGCTTCGGGAAGCAAGTCAGCGAGCCCACTGCGATCACAGCCTTCACAGGAATCGTCAGGATCTGCGGGGTGAGGAGGCAGGCCACAAAGAAGGACATATTAGTAGGAGACCGATCTGGACCGTTACTGCATTACCTGGGGATTAAAATCTCATCTTGGGACTTGCATTAGCAATAACCAACTCTTTAGCAGTATTAGTTGCTCTGGGTACTGTTTAATCTGTCCGATGCACTCCACAAAATACATTTCCATGTACTCAGCGATTCATTGAAAACGTGGTAAACAAGACCAAACAATGGGAAAGGAATAAGGAATACATTTTTTTCCCCATAATACAAGTTATTTTGTAGACTATTAGAATTTAAAAAGGAAAGTCAAATTGTACTCCTAAAACGATGCATGAAAAATCCAGCTTTTCTAGGGTTGTCCAGCTCTCTATTTTTTGTATATAGCAGTAAATTAACAACCTAATTTAGAGAAATGAGTGAAACATTCTAGATTTTGAATCTTAACTCATATACTCATTTGTAACTCAAAAAGCTGTTTCTCTAAGTATTTTTTCCTAATTATTATTTTCATCAATACTAACAAAAACTTGTCTTTGCTATAAAATACATTTATTTCTACCATAACTGAAAACTTTTTTGGAATTTGACATACTCCCGTGAAATCATTTATTAATAAATGACCAATTGCGTTTATTCTGAATTGGTTTTCTTTCATGTAGGGGGTTGTGTGTGCTGAGAACAGGCCGGAGGATAGCAACCTGTTGAATTCAGCGGTGCACAACTTCCCAACAAGCTTTTGTGTATTAAATTGAATATTTAGGTTGTGCAAACATTCATTTAAAATCTCACTGGTTGCTACATCCCAAACCCACAGGAGTCTTCAAAGAACTCCATGATCTTCATTTTGTCCCTTGACTGAGAACGACTCATGTAAATACACTTGCTGAGAGCTCAAATTAAGATGTGATTTCCTGCTGTATATGCCTTTCTCGCCCTTTCCCGGAAACATTACCCAGGAGGGTATTTACGACTGTAGGAAGAATCAGGGAGCTCTCCCTTAGGAACTCCCTCCAGGGTCTGTGCAACGCTATAACCACTGCTAAGCTGCTTTCTAACAGAGCAATTCTAAATGTGCCAAAAGCATTCCTTTTGAAGTTGTTTTCAGTTAAGAGGTTTGGGTTTTCCGGGGTAATGAACACCAATATTCAGTAAAGTATTCTCAAAAGCTCAGTTTTTAAGGTATAAAACAGGTAAAATGTAACTTTATGAGTAACTTAGTTTTCTGTTTCTATAAAAACAAAAAAGAACTGAATTATTCAGAAAAACCCCGTTGATATACGTCTCCCCCATACAGTCCTTACCTCATAGTCTGTTGTGATCTGTATGGCTCCATCATGAATCCCTTCCAGTTTTTTTGCAGTAAGTTTGACTCTGAACACAGCGAAATAGCCTGAAGCTAGTATCACCTGTATGCAGCAGAAATGATATCATTCATTAGCCTTGCTAGTTGAAGTTCCTACTCAAATGGAAAAGGCTGTACCAATGAACTGATTCTGAACCCTAACGCACACCAGGATGACACAGAGGTGCCACATCACCATGCACAAATGCCTCAAAACAACGCCCATCCCAGGATGCTTAGCTGCTACACTTATTCCATGGGCCACCGAACACACTGGCTCCTTGAGGAACATGAGAACTCAGTTCCTAGGTGGTGCAGGGACGGTCCTCAGGCAGCACCCATGTACCTGCATGGACGAAGAGGGTGAGGGCTGGAGCAGAGGGACACGGCCTCCCATCAACCCTTCAGCCATATCAGGACACAAGTACACACAGAGGTTCTGCTTCAAGTTCTGAACTTAAGTGTCTGGTTAATAATCATGTTTTCAAAGCAATTGAGATTGGGCCACATGAAAACATCAGATATCATGAAAGAGTTACGCAAATTTGAAAGAAGAATGGGGTCTTTGTTTTCTCAAGCTATTTGTTGATGTTTCTGGCACTTATTCTATTTTATCATAAAATTTCCAAAAAACATAAAATTCATTTTGTGAAGTTGTACTTTAGATATTAGTAGTTATATTTTATCTAGAATTCATATTCACATCAAAATAACAAATGCTGATACACCAAACATACCCCCTTCCCCCTTTTTAGAAGCATTGATGTTTTGGTTTTGTGCAATTCTGATATTTTCATCATGATTCTGTAACTTCCCAGCTCAGAACACGGGTCTGAGGAGCACAGAGTTGTTGGCAGCGTGTGTTTCATACGAACATACGCTAATTTAGTTCACAGGTTTGGCTTTTTAGAAAACAGTTGGAAAACAGGTGCAAGTTTCGGCACTGCAAACTAAAAAAAATCACTTTGTGGAGTTGCTACTTTGAAGGTGGCAACTCACTACAACTTCCTATTTATTTGTTTTTTTTTTTTNCGGGGCCCTCTGGCGTCCCAAGCCAGTTCTTAACCATTGCGCCACTCGGCCGGCCCGTTTCACTTTCTTAAAATGTATATACTTTTTTAGCACCCTCTGTGTATATATGGATCTTTTTGTTGTTGTTTTTATCGCCTGTTACAGAAAAATTAGCAGGACAAATCTCTGCAATTTGTGAAAATGAATTAAAGTGAAAATGTTCACATTTTATGTTGAAATACTAAGGATGCCAACAAGGTTCAAACAGAGATAGCACTGAATACAGGAAATGGCCACTGTCAGAATATTAAGCAAGGTTTGTTTATACCAAGGCCAGGGTGCCCTACAAGTGTCCAGATCCAGGATGAAATAATTTAATTCTAAAGTCAAAGACCAAAAAAACCAGACTTCTTTTTCTCAGAAGAAAGTATTTTCTTTATAAAAGACAGCATTGGTGCCAAAGAGACCTCTATTAAAAATATAGGTTATCAAACATCTTACTGAAACTGCATACAGACTAAATCATTAAATCATCAATGACTGCTCTCATCAGCAGCATGCGGCTGGCTTCCTATGGCAGGGTAGTAGATTTTAAGTAAAAAGTAATGTGATTTAAAAATCCTTAGTAAGAATCCTGTTGTAGTCTTTTACTTTCTTTTGTTTGAATATGGAATTTTATGTTCTTAATACCTACTGGTATTAAAGACACAGGAGTTAAGAGAATGCATGGGAAAGAGTCCAATGACGTTGAGGTGAAGACTAACACCACCACTGGCAGTCGAGCCAGAGGAGACCGTGGCAGAAATACATCAGAGGGCAGGTATGTGGCTGTGATGGGAGGAACAAGAAAGCGGGAAGCAGAGTGCCTGCGCCCGGTGTGGCCTCTACCCAGCTGTGTCCCCGGAGGTCACTTGGTCTTCATGGGCCTGTAATAACTGCACTTCTAGTGTGCATGTCTTGTCTTTCAGGGGGTATGGAAGGGGCCAAAAGAGTTAACAGATACACAAGTTAATTTTACAATGGTATTCAAATACTAAGTATTAAACGGAGTTATTTGAAATATTTATTCTCAAGTATTGTTTTTATCACTTAACTCTAGTATTCTCCATCTGATGAAAGACTTGACAGAATTTGGTCATTGTTATGGACTGAATGTTTGTGTCCCCCCAGAATGCCTATGTGGAATCTTAGACCCTGATGAGATGGTGTTAGGAGGTGATTATGTCATGAAGGTGGAGCCCTCATGAATGGGACTGGTGCTTTTAGAAGAGGACAGACCAGAGCTTGCCCTCCCTCTGCTCTTCAGGCTAAGTGACGATACAATGAGAAGACAGCATCTGCAAAAACAGGCAGAGGGCCTGCGCCGTACCATAAATCTGCCATCACCTTGATCTTGGACTTTCCAGCCTCCAGAACCATGAGATACAAATGTTTGTTATTTAAGCGGCCCAGCCTATGGCACTTTGTTAGAGCAGCCCGGCTAACATGGTAATACCAAGTTAATTCGTAATTCCAGCATATGTCTGGTCCTGTAAGCCACCTGAAGAGATCTGAAAGCTTAGCTACAGTCTTTCAAAACCAGCACCTTCTTTTCATACAGATGCTTTCTCCTTTATTGCAGGATTTACGCAGTGATTAAGGAGACCACTGACTGAAAAGGCAACAGAAGGGAGGAATGAGGTCCTTCTGGGTAAATAACAAAGTTGAGTTCCACATGCTAGTACCAAATAGGGTGACAAAAAGACAAAAATTTAATTAAGACCCAACCTTAAATGTGCAGAAACTGTTAAACTCAAAATTTGTATTTTTAAGGAGCTAACCTTTAAATTGAGGTTTTATTGCATACAGCGTTAAGATCTTGCAATGTATTGTCTTTTTTTCTTTTTCTTTTTTAAAAAAGATTTTATTGGGGAATTGGGGGAGGGGAACAGTGCTGGGGAATTGGAGAAGGGGAACAGACAAGTTGCTGTCCTTTTGTTCTTCAGTCTAGCTGTGGAGGACGTCACTTCACTGGCCCATGTTGGTATCATCATTGTGCTCTTCCCGAGTTAGGCAGATCGGTCGCCGGCCTCTGGATGGCCTCTCACGGCGGCTGTTGGCAGCTCACACCGGCTGCCGGCCACTCACGCTGGCTGCCAGCCACACACGGTAGCTTATGGCAGCCCACTGCAGCAGGGGCTGCAGCCTACGCTGTCGCTGGCGACCCACAGCAGCCCAGCTCCAGGTCGAGCTGTTGTTCACCATCTTAGCTGTAGAGGGCAGTGTCACTGGCCCTCATGTGGGATCCGAACCAGGGCCCTGCTG